AAAAACTTCTTCAACAAATCTTCAATGCTCCCGCTCACCAAACACCTAAACGCTAAGTTTTGCAACACTAAATTTGTATTGGGTACATAAATTTGCCCAGATCTTATCAGATCGAAAAATATTTGAGATCCAAGAAGCAACTGAATTTTACTCGGTTTGTGAAAGTCTGGATCAGCTAACATAACTCTTTGCGTACATCAATTTGTCTAGAAGGCATCAAGTGAGTAATTTTCAGAACTATTAAAATTATTTTTATTTTTTCCCTATTTAAAATAACCGCGCTCATTTTTTATTTCACCGTTATTGAAATCCAACATAAATATCCTACTGATATGTTTACATTACTTTTGCAAATGAAACGCTTCAGCTAATTCTGATGAACAAAGATGAATCATACTTCCACTGTCAAGCGAAGTGCTGGCTGAAAATATTTTCGGTTCGTTTCCCTTAATGTAAACAACCGTTGTCGATAGTAGAACTCTATTCACTCTATTACAATTTTTATTTACATTAGTAGCTATCGTAAAACATTCGTTATCCTTATTTATGAATGACTTCGCGTGAACGTTGAGTTTTGGTGTATCGTAGACTGGCTGGCATCTGACTTTTGACCCGATGGAGACGCGATTTCACAACTGATTTTATTTCGTGGAATCTAAACGTTTTCTCGCTTATAACACAATAAATTGTTCTTTTCCTGCATAGCCGACAAGAGTAATTTGAATGGCAATTTCCCATTCCATGATTTCCAAAACAGAAGAAACAGAAATTGTACTTTTTACATACTCATCTTTCAAACTGAATTTTTGAAATTTAGGACATTTAAATAATTTATGCTCAGCATTGCACAGTTTACAAATACATACACTTTTCTCTGTTATGCATCAAACCATTGAAGAAACCTTTGGTTGACTTCGTTTAGACATTACTGGAATTCTCCTCGCATGAATTCTAATAAATCTGTGATGCTGATATTTTTTCTTTCTTTAAATTTCTTTCCCATCATAACTTCGTATTCTGATCAAGTTTCTGGCTGAGAATAAAAGCAATGTAGTGGACGAAATCCCATCTAACTTTTGTTCTAAACATTCTAACGATATTACATCTTCACTTGTAACATAAATTAAATTTAGAATCGCTGGAGCTGACACGTTTGGAACAACGGGAATACTCATAAATCTTTTGAAATGTGCATACGCTTGTTCTCTAAGGCTTGAGTATCTTTCCTCAAGGAGAGACCATGCTAACTTATAATTAGTATCCGTTGTAGCTATCGTTTGGATTATTCTTTCAGTGCTGATTTCAAATATTGAAATTTTACAGCATCTGATAAATTTGGATTCTAATCAATACTCGCTTTAAAAATATTCCTGAAGGAAAGCCAAGAATGCATTTCTTCTGAAAATGTGGGTAACGAAATCTTATGTAAACGCACAACAGAATTTTTAGAAATTACCGTATTTGAATTAATAATAAAATAAAAAATATTATCAGATTCGTTTTGCGGATTGCTAAATTTAGTTTTTAACAATTCTACGTCCCTAACACTTAAGTCTGGCTCAGAAAGTTTCTTTTGCAGTTTCAATAAGATAATTTTTTTTAGTTCTCATTTTAGTGAGAACATCTTTCAATTTCGTAGCCATTTTCGCTACACTTATCAATAATGAATTATCACAGAAACTTAATTCAGAATTTACTAAATCCAACATCCATAATGAACAGAGTTTCAAGTGTTACCTACTCTTTTCTTTCAGCGTCTGGCTGTAATCCATAAACAGAAATTCTCCAGAAACAAAATGGCAAAATCCCTGTTGTTCAACTAGCTTATTTACTTAGCCGGTTTAGCTCCAGCTTGACGGACCACTAAGAATGGTCCAGCGAATTACTAAAATGGACTGTAAACTCTAAACTAACTAATTAACAAACTAAACTATTATATTTCATCATTTTTATTTTACTCATTTGTGGAAGACACTCCGGCAACCACACTTCACCATTGAAGCAAAATAAATAAATAAAATAAATAAATTTGTTAACAGTAGCGGATGGCAGTGCCATCTCACTTTAAAGGGATTTAACACCGATATTTGTTCAAAAAAGCAACCATTTACAGCACGGTTTCTCAACCGGTGGTACGCAAGAGAAAAATAAATGGTACGCAAAGATGCAAAGCATTTTTAACTATTACATTCAAAAATTAAAACCCCAACATCCTGATTGATTTTTTTCTCTAACACTCGTAAATTTATGCCCTCTTAGCTTTGTTCAAGAGTGGTGGTGGTAGTAGTACTTTGTAGTGATGGTACTAAAGGTTTTCAATTTTTGTTTAGATGGTACGCGTTAGTCAAAAGGCTGAGGACTTTTAACTCAATTGTATAACTGACTTGAACTATAATGAATGTAGCCATATCTATAGAGCGACCAAGCACTCCTCGAAGTTTTGGTAAAATCACTCCTAAAGCTTCAAAAATGCATTTTCTAGAAACTTCCAGAATGTCGCCATTTCGACGACAGAATTGTCGCTAAGGCTTCTCGAGAGAATTTCTGCTCATGTTTTAATTGAGTTATAACAATTTGAATTTCGATGTAGAATTACAAGATTTAGAACATAATATACAAAATAAACATTTATAAATTAATTTGATTAACTCTTTGAAATCCAGACTCTTCGTTAACCTGTATCCTCAAAATACCAAACCGCCCGAAATAGTTTTCCAGTTTCACAGCAATTTCCTCCCCCTCCTCGTCCATTAACGCAGAAAATAGGTGTGAATATTTCGAATGATTTCCTTTGTACTTTCTAATAAAGTTTCCATTAGCCTTTGACCCCGTTCTTTATAAACCTTTTCCGAAGGTCAGACCAACAAGCCTTTCTGGCTTTGTTATCATCACGACTGAGGTTTTGTTTACTTCCGTTATTTTTATAGGAAGGAATAAATTGATTAAAAATAAATATAATCCTTAAACTCTTAAACTGCACTTTTATTTCTTTTTAAATCTTAAAAGCACACTGTACCAAAAAAGAATCAACTGCGAAATCTCACGAGCAACCAAAAGATAAGAAATCTCTTAGGACAAGCTGTCTGCAGTAAACTGATCAATGCATTTGGGGAAACTGAACCTGCTACTGCATACCTTAGGGGAAGGGAAGAAAACAAGATTGCAATCTCGGCCGTTTTCGGACGGTTCTGATTGTCTCAATGTAGCGCCGTGTGGGGCGGATTGGTCGTGAAAGAGTTAAAGAAAAAGTACATAATAAAATTTTTATGTCAAATGCACCGAATAAACAAACAAATATAAAAACCGCAGAACGTTATAAACATTCTTAAAAACTAAAATGTAATCAAATGAACACAAATATTAAAAAAAAATTCAAATATTTGTATTCAACAATTCTCTGTAGATATTTGCATTTTTAGAAGTAAATATTAATTAAGAATTTCCCAATAAAATTGTTGAGAAATGCTGCTTTAAACAGACATATGGATAGAAGAATGTGTAACGTGTATACGAGCCAGTTTCCCTTAGAAAGTCCTCCACGAAGGCATCCCTCCCCTTAGGCAGATAGCCCTAGTGTGCTTTGCCGTAATTAAATACACCACACCACCACCGCCACACCATGGATAAAAGAAAAGCATGTTCTAACATAATTTCACATTGTTTCAATGAAAGTCATAAAAATATTATTACAGTTTTAAATAATTTTCGAGGAAGGAATTAGCTTTGCTTGTTTAAAGTTCTAAGAAGAAGAAGAACTAAGAAGTTTTGCCACGAATAAAACATTCTTTTTTATGAATAATCCTTGCCTAGTTACGCGAATAAAAATTGTTGTCCGGATATAGGAAAAGGTGAGAAAAAATTAAGTATGTAAATAAATATTAAAATTCAATTTTAACAACCGGTTCGCTGAATTAAAAAAATTTCCGTAGCCGGTTCCCTGGAACTGGATAAATCCCTCCAATGATGAGACCCTGCGAAAACTTGAAGGGTTACCACATCCAACGATGCGTAAGGCTTGAAGAAACTAACTTCTCCATCTCTTATAACCAAAGCAAGGTTCTTTAATATACAGAGGGTTCGCACGAAACATGCTTCGCTGGAGTCATATCTCAGCTAGCCACACGGGCCGTTTTGAAGCTGAACGGAAAATGTTTCCCTTGAAGCTTTGTCCCTCGTAGGATTTTTCTAAAGAACTGGTTTTCGCAGATATCCCGGAAACGAAAATTCCAGAGGATGTTTATCGACCATTTGTTGAACAAAGCTGCTTCAAAAGAATCGTCGTCACTCCCATATTACAAACTGAATTGCCTCTAGCCCTAGCATGGTTTATGCTTCACGCATGCTCAATAGACATATTTTCAGCATGGTAAACCTTCGTCGCTGGCCAAAGAACATCTATGTATGTTGTTGGCGATGTTTCACAACACAGACTTCAGAGATGCCTTACTGAAGTGCTGCGGAATGTGTGAAATTTGTTCACTTTGTGGCTAGTTATGCGAGCAATTATATATCGGGAACTTAAAAAAGCGTATGGGGTGAGCCTTGTACTCATATATGCGAGATTTTGTTACTGGGGACTTAGAAAAGCATATGGGGAAATAGATATTATTTTTTTTCACTCGTGTTGATGTTTATGAACTGCTTAAATTATTTAAGATACAATAACGCGTCGAACAAGCACTAATTTAGAAGTGAAACAACAACAATCAACGTTATGTTTTCAAATTTTCACAGGACTAGTTTCGATGGTTTTACCGAACCATCATCCTCAGCTGCAAAATAAACGAGATAAGATATAGTGATTAGATAAGAAAGACTGAACGGGAGTCTTCGAAGCGCAAGTTCCTCCTTCAAACACCAACTTTAAAAGAAGTAGAAATAATTGTTTCATTTACTGGGATAATGAATAAATTGATTCATTTTACCTGCTTGATCAGAAAACATTAGTAATGGATCATTTTTCTGATTGTCTTCAGTTATCATTTCTTGTACAATTTCAGAAAGACACCGAACTGAAGAAGCGGCCTGTCTACTTTAGCAAACTTTGGGGTCAAACATGTTGCTCAGAAGACATGATCAGCAAGAAAGCCTTACTTCCAGATCTGGAAATTGGTGAATTTATTGTATGGCAAAATATGGGAGCCTACAGCTATGCCGTCTGCAGCACTTTTTGTGCAGTTCCTCTTCCAGCATGCAAGCACGTTTTCAAGTATGATTCTCGGTAAGGCTCTTTTAATTTCTAATCTACATCAATTTTTCAATTATTTATTTGTTCAATTACTTCAATTATCTCTTTTACAGTTTCTCATTTATTGTTTCTGGCATGAAAATAAAATGCTCTTTAGTAGAGATACATTTATATGACTTGTAGGTTCATTTAAAAATTCTAAAATGCTATAGTTATCAAACTAACTACTAACATTATAGCTATACAACAAAATTAAATAAATAAATTATTTTCAAAGGAAGCAGCATATAGTATATGTGATAATGTAAGAAGCAGTATATAGTTCAAAGAAAGCAGTATATAATATATGTAAAAGAAAAGTATGTATAATTATATAAGTATATAATATGTTCAAAGAAAGCGGTATATAATATATTGTTACGAATTTGGTATTTAAAAAGCAAATGTTAGTTCAATTATAAATTAAATGGTTTTATTTCTCGCGCAGTGCAGCGCGTGACGAATATTAAAAGAAAGCTAAGCCAGAAAATTGAAAATACAAGAGCGCGTGCATTAAATAAATAAATATCTCTTTTTGATTTCGAGAAAGTACTGGAAAATTCTAGCGCGTGATTTTAAAATCTTATAAAAGGAGGAAAACATCTCAGTTTGTAGTAGTTGCTTAGTTTGTTGTTGTTTAGAAAACTGCTGTTGTTGATTGTAGCGAATTCGCGGATTAGCGTTCTTTAGCTGTTTTGAATTACGTTCTATTGGACATTTGAGTAGTTAAAAGATAACTACTGTGAGATATTGTAATACTGCATGATAATTTGAGAAAATTTAAGCATTTTTGTTGTGATAATAATAAATTTTTGTTCATTTTTCATCGGACTTGTGCATTCATTTCATAACGAACCCGTACGCACGCAACAATTTTTGGTGTCAGAAGTGGGATTTGAATGCCAATAACAAGAGCGATGGAAGAACAATTAGGCAATTGATACAGCCTTTGCCTCATTTAAGAAGAAGAAATGGAAGAATCCAATGAAATCTAGCCAAGGAAAGAATGAATTGGGCCAGGAATCCGTTAAGGACGAAATGAAAGCCGTTCAAGCTGGTCAAGAAAGATTGAAGCAGGTCAGAAGAAATGAAAAGAGAAATTACCTGCATAATAGAAAAAATTTGAAGCTATGGAAGGCAGAATTGACACAGTTGAAAATAAAGTTGGACTAATTGAAGAAAGAGTTTCTTCTGTAAAAGAACATATAGAAGGGAGAGTTTCTGCTGTGGAGGAACGAATTGAAGGAAGAGTTTGTGCCGTCCAACACCAAATCGAACAACAAATTGATGAGAGAGTTTCTGCAGTTGCCAAAGAAATGGATACTTTAAAGAAATTCGTAGCGTCGGCAGGGAGCAGGAGTGATGATTTTAAATTCTTACCAATGCCTGCTCGTCCACCTCTGAAGCTATCCACATATGATGGGAAGACCTCCTGGCAGGTGTATAAGACACAATTTTCTATCGTGGCGGATGCGAATGGATGGGATTCCCAAGCTAAGGCCTGTCATCTCGCCGCTTCTCTAAGAGCCGACGCAGCGGATATCCTTCAGACTCTTCCCGAAAACAAAAGGTTAGATTTCGAAGCTCTGTCCGGCGCCTTGGAGCTGCGCTTTGGAGAGAAGTGTTTAAAAGACTACAGCAGGCTCCAATTAAAATCTCGTCAACAGAAGCCTACCGAAACACTTCAGGAGCTCGCCACGGATGTTGAAAGGCTGTCGCATCTCGCCTTTTCGGAATGCCCGACAGAAACAAGGGAAATCCTGTCCTTGCAATACTTTATCGACGGCATCCGAGGATACCTGAAATACAGAAAGCTCTACGAATGGCGGATGTAAAAGATTTAAAAAGTGCTCTAGTGTACGCCATGAAATTTGAGGCAGCCCAGCAAGCCACTCGTCGAGACCGCCACCCAGTCAGAGCTGCTCAAGTCCAGGAGCCAGGGGATCAAGTCACCGCTCGTCTAGACGATTTAACTAGACAACTGAACGCCTTGAGACGGAATATTGGTGAGAAGAAACCGACCGTTAAGTGCTGGAACTGCGGTGCTGAAGGACACATACGACGAAACTGCAGAAACACCCCAGGGTACGGATGTTAAGACCGCTTCCTAACAAGCAGGGAAACTAATTAGTGGCCATCTCGCGGGGCGGAGGTTGCCAGATAATGAAAAGCCCCAGTTTAAAGCGCTTCAGATTTCTGCAGTGAGAGGCGGCAGTAATGGACTTTTCATAATAGGACATATTAATGGAGTTCCCTGCAATATGACGATAGATACAGGAGCCAACGTTACCATCATCCGAAAAGATTTGGCTCAACAACTAGGAAACAAACTTATCTGGACGCCGCCCTGCGTTACCCTCCAGACTGTGTCCGGTGAGAAGATCGACATCGACGGAAAAGTAAATGTTAACATCACGTTTGGAAGTGCCGCTTACCATCACACGGCATATGTAGCAGAGATCACTGATTCTTGCATACTCGGATTGGACTTTCTAAGGAAATACAATTTTTCCTTGGATTTTAAAAATAACGAATTGCATTCTACATCTGAGGACATAGCGTTATTTCTCGTTAATGATGAAGAAGTTAAATCTGTCCATAAAATCATAGCACAAGACTAATATCACAATACCGGCAAGAACAGAAATTTTACTTCCTCCCTGGATCCATAGCCGAAAATAGAAATTTCCGCTACGGCATCATAGAATATCCCAATAACTGTAATATCCCAAAAAGGAGTACTAGTAGCCTCAACACTCGTCGACCTATCCAGAACGGTTATCCCGGTGAGAGTCGCCAATGTAACTGAGAAGTCGAGAGTTATTAAGAAAGGTGAAGTGGTTGCAACATGTACTCCAGTAACCACCGTTGAAAAAAGAGTAACATCCAAGAATCCGTGTCCTCAGAGAGCATTACATCGGAGTTATTGCAGAATGCGCAATTAAACGATAAAGAGAAAAAATGCTGCCGATCGCGTCATTAAAGATCTTCAAGTTGTTTTCTCCCGCTCGTCTTCTGACGTGGGTCGAACTAGTTTGACACAACATAGAATAGATACCGGCGATCATCCCCCGATCAAGCAACATCCAAGACGTCTACCGTTTGCTAAACAGGAAGAGGTGCGAACACTGTTAAAAGATATGGAAGAAGGCGATGTCATCGAGCCTTCAGCGAGTCCATGGGCATCTCCCATCGTTCTCGTCAGAAAGAAAGACGGCTCAACAAGATTTTGCGTTGACTATCGCCGGTTGAATGAGGTTACGAAGAAAGACAGTTACCCTCTTCCTAGAATTGACGACATTCTAGACACTCTTTCTGGAAGCAAGTGGTTCTCAACACTTGATTTAAAGAGTGGGTATTGGCAGGTAGAAATCCATCCTGATGACCGAGAAAAGACGGCATTTACTACGGGACAAGGGCTTTGGCAATTCAAGGTGATGCCGTTTGGACTGTGTAATGCGCCGGCAACATTCGAACGCCTCATGGAGACTGTTTTGAAAGGCCTTTCCTACGAAGCCTGCCTGATATACCTGGACGATATCATCATCGTCGGAAAGAGTTTTGAAGATCATCTAGAAAATCTTAGGAAAGGTGCTTCAGAAACTGAAAGAAGCCAATTAGAAGCTGAGTACCGCTAAATGCAAATTTTTCCGAAAGGAAGTGACTTACCTGGGACATGTCATCTCTGCAGAAGGTGTGCGCACGGATCCTGAAAAGGTATCAGCGGTTAAATCCTGAAAACGTCCCGAAAATGTCCATCAGCTGAGAAGCTTCCTAGGGCTTTGCACCTACTATAGGAGATTCGTGAAGAACTTTTCTTCCATCGCAAGACCACTTCACAAGCTGACAGAGAGCAAGCAAAGATTCTTGTGGACAAAAGAATGCGAGAATGCATTTAAAACAACTTAAAGGAAGGCTTTAACATCTGCTCCAATCCTGACGTATCCTCAGCTCGACAGACCATTTATTCTCGACACCGACGCGAGCAATGAAAGTGTCGGTGCTGTTTTGTCCCAAGAAATAGACGGCCAAGAACGTGTAGTAGGCGTACTGGAGCAAGTGCCTGTCTAAACCGGAGAGGAATTACTTGTGTCACCAGGAAAGAGTTGCTCGCCATAGTCAAAGCTGTAGAACATTTCCATCATTATCTATACGGCAGAAAATTCCTCCTCCGCACGGACCATGCCTCATTGGCCTGGCTTTTAAATTTCAAAAATCCTGAGGGTCAAATAGCCAGGTGGATACAGAGACTCCAAGAATATGACATCACTATCCGTCATCGTAAGGGATCATCACACGGAAACGCCGACGCCCTGTCTAGAAGACCTTGCCAAGAAAGCTGCGGATATTGTTCCAGGGTGGAAGCGAAATACGAGCTGCTGACTCCGGTCGCAAGACAAATTACAACATCAACATCGGCTGATCGAGACCCGTGGAGTGATGATGAAGTCAGGAAAGACCAGCTGGAAGACCGCGACATTAAACCCATAATTGATTTAATGGAGTCATCAAACAGAAAACCTACCTGGCAGGACATTTCTATCTGTAGTCCTACAACAAAACAATACTGGGCACTCTGGGATTCACTTCACATTCGAAAACGGCGTCTTATACCGGAAATTCGAATCGGATGATGGGAAGACGTTCCGATGGCAACTGATACTTCCAAGATCCCGCATTCCTGATGTCCTTAAAGAACTACATAACAGCCCTACAGGAGGTCACACTTTGGAATAATGAAGACCTTACAGAGAGTTCGTGAGCGCTTTTACTGGAATAATGCAAAGGATGACGTGCAAAAGTGGTGCCGATCTTGCGATGCCTGTGCAGGTCGGAAAGGACCGAGGAAACGCAGCCGAGGCAAGCTGCAACGTTACAACGTAGGGCGCCTTTTGAACGTATCGCCTTTGACATCCTGGGACCTCTGCCACGAACTGCTGATGGCAACAAATACAACATACTCGTTGTCATTGATTACTTCACCAAGTGGCCTGAAGCTTATCCTATTCCTGATCAAGAGGCTGTCACAGTAGCTGAGGTAATGATACAGCACTGGATTTCCAGGTTCGGAGTGCCTCTTCAGTTACATTCCGATCAGGGAAGGAATTTTGCCTCGGCAGTAATCAAAGAACTATGGAAACTACTCGGCATTGACAAAACTCAAACGACGCCATTGCATCCCCAGTCGGACGGCATGGTAGAGAGGTTCAATCGAACCATCCTTAATAACCTCTCATTAGTGGTTTCCAGAAACCAACAGGACTGGGACAAGAAATTACCACTCTTTTTTACTGGCTTACCGCAGAGCTGTCCACGAGACTACCGGCTATTCTCCATCACAGATGCTCTTCGGTCGTGACCTTCGTCTGCCTTGTGATCTATTGTTTGGGCCGCCCTCCGGATGCTCCTTCATCGTCTGAGGAATATATTCAAGATCTCCAGGCCCGGTTTGAAGTGATGCACAATTTTGCACGAGAGCGAGTCAACTTGGCGACGGAGAAGATGAAGACCCGATACGACACAAGAGCTACTGAACATCAATTCCACGAAGGAGACAAGGTGTGGTTTGTGGAATCCGACTCGACGGAAAGGACTTTGTCCGAAATTACAGTCACCTTGGGATGGGCCGTACACAGTCCTAAACAGGCTGAATGACGTCGTGGTTCGGATTCGTAAGTCTTCGAACTCTAAACCTAAAGTCGTTCATTACGACAGGTTAGCTCATTACTATGGCCATAGTACATAATGTAAATAATTGTAAATAGTATAAGACCATGGTCCTTTTTGTTTTTAAATGTGTATTTGATTTGATTTGTATTTAGTATTTGATTTGTATTTAGTATTTGATAGCATTTGATTTGTTCAAGTTAGTTATTGCATTTATTGTTCATGTTGTTTGATATTGTAATGTAATGTTTATGCCACAGTTGTAAGTTTAGCTTCCTATCCAGGGATTGTACTGCCCGGGACGTGCAGTCCTTGGGAAGGGGGCAGTGTTACGAATTTGGTATTTAAAAAGCAAATGTTAGTTCAATTATAAATTAAATGGTTTTATTTCTCGCGCAGTGCAGCGCGTGACGAATATTAAAAGAAAGCTAAGCCGGAAAATTGAAAATACAAGAGCGCGTGCATTAAATAAATAAATATCTCTTTTTGATTTCGAGAAAGTACTGGAAAATTCTAGCGCGTGATTTTAAAATCTTATAAAAGGAGGAAAGCATCTCAGTTCGTAGTAGTTGCTTAGTTTGTTGTTGTTTAGAAAACTGCTGTTGTTGATTGTAGCGAATTCGCGGATTAGCGTTCTTTAGCTGTTTTGAATTACGTTCTATTGGACATTTGAGTAGTTAAAAGATAACTACTGTGAGATATTGTAATACTGCGTGATAATTTGAGAAAATTTAAGCATTTTTGTTGTGATAATAATAAATTTTTGTTCATTTTTCATCGGACTTGTGCATTCATTTAGTAACGAATCCGTACGCACGCAACAATATGTACGTTATTCGAAAATTCACCCTTTAAATGACTTTGTTTCATTGCAAAATTCTATCCAATCAGGAAAACACTTACACAGATTTTCTTCTGAAGATGTGTTCTACAGTATGAGGAAGTTGTTGTCGATAAGTCCGTGCATAAACAACTATTCTCGTAAGAATCACAAAATCTTACTCGTTCGAACGTAAATCTCCATTTAATCAATCAGCCATCGATTTAATGATGTCCTCAATTTAACGATAACTCGGGAAATTTATTCCTCTCAGAAATATAAAGGAAGACTTCCCACAAGTACACGATACAGCAGCAAAACTTTCCTTTGATTATAGTTCCTCTCCTACATGGACAATTTTCCTTTCCCCAGCTCAATTTTTCCCCAGCGTCGTAAGGTATCCCGGCTACATAATGCGTAACTTAACAGTGAACGCAACTATTGCTCAAAAGTTATGGCTAGAAACTCCACTTTCAAATAATCGGAGAAGTTTCTTATTACATTCCGCGTCGATAAGTCATTAATGGTACTATCAACCTAACACTTCACTCACCTGTCGACGGTGGTCTGTAGTGGTAGACTGTGTAAGTTTCGTATCAACCCGTTACAGATCACCTCACAATGAAAAAAATGCAATTCTAAATACTGACAGTGAGATACCTTTTTAGAAAGACAATCTTGCTATGGCTTTTGTAATATTCTGATAATAATATAACGCCTTATTCCCTATCATTAACCACAAACAATCCAATTAAAGAAACATTATAAGAATAATTATATTAGACATTATAAGGAAACACACGTTATCATTGCATTATACTCATTAACTTTTACTATTTTAAATGTAAAGTATGAGATGTGTATTGTTTAAATTTTATGTTCAACTTAAATTTTGTTATATTACTGAATTTTATTTACGTGTTATATTTAAAAAATTTAAAAATTTGTTTTGCTTTATTTCAGACTGAAAATGGATTTTATTCCAAACTTAGAGAAAGTGGTTGACTATCTGAAAGATAAAACTTCCCTTGTAAAAAATGGAGAATGTGATGATGACTACATTTTTAGTGAATATATGAGATAAATAAAAATGAATTCTAATTAATTTAATTAAACATTAATAAATTGATAATTTCATTAGAAACAGCATTTGTGTTTTACCTATTAATTTAAATTCCGTTAATTACATTTCTCCACGAGCAGCTATCGAAAAGCCTTCTAATTACAGAACTAGAATGGTAACCCGTCCAAAAAACATGGAATTGTAATATCTACAGAGAAGCCTGCCAAGCATTTAGTCAAAAACATGCCGTTGTCTTTCAAAGTTTGAGCCTGTTTGCGTGCAATCTCTTACTATTACATTCTAATAAAGCGTTAAATATGATAATCTTGTATGATAATTAATTATAGCAACGAATGAAATGGCTAGACTACCTATGGAAAATATACCATTACGAATGTAAGTAAATTTCTGAAGGATATTAGTTTTATTTACATTGGAAACAACCGCAAAATTACTTATGCAACTAGCCGATTTGTCGTAATTAAAATGTGAATTGTTCGGTGATATCATACACTTGACCACTGGTGGGTTCAAATGTGAGAAAGATGTATTGATATTTCAGACAAGATAAAACGACCTTCTACAAAACTTGCTTGCATGAGTTTCAGTTAGATGAGTGGTCAGTTAATAAAGACTTTTGAAGAAATTGCATAAAAGTAATCATAATCAAGTCCTGATCAGGATTCTATATCTGACATTGATCGTCTGACTGAAACCTGGATGAATATAAAAATAGTTTTCAGAGGATAAGAGCATTATATAGTTAAAAAAAATTTTGCCAAATAACAGAAGTTTGGACAAAAATCGTTGCACTCCCGTTATCACAAAATTTTAACAGTTCAAGAAATAATAAATCTTGTGATAAGTGCTCTTTTAGTTAACTATAAAATGCTTGGAATATTAAGGCACGAACTTTTATACTTACAACCTCAAAAGAACATGCACCCATTAGTTAAAATTAAAGTTGAAATAAGTTTTCAATGGTATACTTCACGAAATGTCTTATATTATTGTAGAAAATATTTGTAAAATATTGCCGCGTGCATACGGGTTCGTAGATTGAACGCACACGCAACTTTCCTCAAAAATACTCCTACAGCTCTTCACAGTATCACAGAGTATAATCAGTAGTTCCACTAGAGTATAAATAACGTTAAGCACAACACAATGCAAAGCGTATCTAAAGGCGAAGCTCTCACGGATATATCGCCTACCAGCGGCCGAGCGGTAAAGTCGTTGAACACTGGTAATTCGGTTCGAGGTTCAACTCCGGCGGACGGGCAGGCTGCATGGGTGTTTTCGTGTTTTCCCCCATGTTTAACGTGTATACGAACCTTCCCTTAGAAAGTCCTCCACGAAGGCACCCCTCAGGCAGATAGCCCTTAAGGCTTTGCCGTAATCACATAAAACCAAACCTAAAATTTTGGAAATATCCCACGTAGATATCTACTCGGCCCCGTGGCAACATTTCTGGTGACAAATGACTAAATGGCAGCATTTAATTCCCGATGAATACTTAACCAGGAAGTGACCAGCTATTAAAATAAAAAATAACATAGACATAAATATGAATAAACCTCCTGCAATTAATTAATAACGAAGTATTCTTGTTCATTATAATAAAATTGTTTTGATATTGAGCTAGTCTTCCTGTCTCACTTTAGACTGCATTTTGTTACTTCTTCATTAAGAGTATTTGCACAGAAAATTTATTTAATGTAAATTTGGTTAAACATTCAGTGATCGTTTTAATCTCTACCTAAACAGGAATGCATTCTTTGCAGCAAATGCCTTAGCTTCCAGTTCTCAATAGACTGAATGATACAGGGTGCGGCTACCTTATTTTAAAAATGAATAACACAAATAGTATAAGCGATATCAGTTTAAATTTTTTAAGAGTCACTTAAAGTTTTTTTTTTTTTTTTTTTTTAATTACGGTTTAAAAATAATATCATTAAGGCAGCCTCCGTTCTGGTTAATGCATTGAGATAGTCCAGTTTTGAAGTTTCTTTCCACTTTTACCAGCATATCAATAGGTATGTTGTTGATAGCAGCTTGAATATTGTTCTTCAGTTGAGCCAGGGTCTTTGGACGTTAGAGATTTCAGATAGTCCCACAAAAAGAAATTACACGGGGCTAAATCAGGCGAGCGCGCTGGCCACTGACAATCGCCTCATAAGGAGAAAAGGCGTCTAGGGAAATGTTCTCCAAAAAATCATGGTCCAATGATGCCTATTCTAAAGAATGCACACAAACAGTCATACGTTCTGTATGGAGAAGCTGCTCATGAAATTCTCGGAGATTCGTGCCACTCCATTATCGCATGTTTTGCTTAACCCTTTAACTGTCAAGTTATTTTGATGATTTGGGTACACAAATTGTCAAATTTTTTTATTGGAAAAACCAAATGTAGCCGAAATAAACATCTCCCGATATATATTCGGGTATGACAATACGATGCACTCAAAAAAAAAAAAAAAAAAAAAAAAAAAAAAAAAAAATGACCCCGAGAAATACTCGGGCGTGACATTTTCGAACACCAGTTATTGCCCGAGATAATCTCGGGCATGACAGTTAAAAGGTTAATGCATGCTGCAACCGAAAAGATGAAAATGAGCCTCAGCGCTAGAGAACACAAGGGTATCATGAGGCGTACTGTCAAGAACGGCTTTGCATGCATTTTTTCGTGAAAGAAAATCGCGTCGATTAAGTTTTTGCACCATTGCCAATTTATATTGATGAAAATGCTGTACGTTGAAAAGTCTATGCAATACATATTCTTTGCTTTAGATACCGCTCTTTTCAATGAGCGCCACCCCCCACCCTTCTTGGAATAAATGCCGCTAGATGGCGCACGGTTCAAATAAGGTAGTTTTCCTGCCGCACCCTGTATCATATTTTGCTACATCAACGCAGTTATGTAATTCCAGTTCTAGGATTATGACTAAAAGAAAACTTAATAAACGAACAGCATTACAATTGAGAATCTAATTTCTTAATTAAGGGTTAAAAGTCTAGAAACACAATCTTCGGGTTCAGCGAAAACAATCGTTTGAATTTTTATTTTTTTTTTAAGTAATTAAGTTGATTTTACATATACAAAGCTCAAAATTGAAATTTCAACAATAGGAAGGAAAAGCTGTAAGGGCATGCAAACTGAAGGCATTGTAAATATTGTAAAATGATTAAATCCTTAAGCAGTTAGCTTCAATCAGAACATGTAGGAGTTTAAATAGTATAGCAGCCTGATTAAATGCAGTTTTTTCATGCCATATGAGACTTCAATGATTCGATAATGTGATGCCTTGAGTTCATCAGCATACCACTTATAACCAACACATTAAAATGGTAAGGGACAGACTCCTTCAAACGAAGAGATACTGGTTTATCATTCCAGTAGAATGTCATGTATTTAAGGTGAAATGTCGATGTCGACTTTTATGTCAATGAAGTCTCATGTGGCATGAAAAAACTGCATATGCACAGGTGATTATGAAAACGATGAACTTGGATGATAATGGAGGTCAAAGGGAAACTTCTGCTCAGTTAACTCGTTCAAATTTTTTTAAAAAAATGGCGCACAGCAATATTTTGCTCTATTGCAAGTATACTTTGTTGCCACACAACTATCAACTATTGATATTATGATCGGCATAGTGGTTAGCAATGCTGGCTATTGTATCTTTGGGCCCCAGTTTTGTTCTATTAAGTTATTTGAATGTGGCAAAGCATACGAGGGCTATCTACCTAAATAGAGGCATGCCATCATGAAAGTAAACTGACTTGTGTTCACTTTACACATGGGGTAAACCATGAAAATCAATAATGCAGTCAGCCTATTCACAAGGAATCAAGCTCAAATTAAACTACCACTACTCAGTGTTCTTAACCACTCGAATCTAGGAGAAGACATAAGGCATGGGGGCACTTAAAGTACTGGCAAGCTGGAAGTATTCTGAAGTGGTCTGGTAATAGCAAAACCCTTGGACCCACTCCCTAGAGAATTTTATTGGGATGGAACTGGTCAATCATACTGTCACTTTTAGTGCAGGATTGCATTTGACATTGGTCATGACAAACACAATTCTGTGCTTCTCGCCATGATAAGAATTTGTTGACTTGCTTTGAAGTTGCTGTCATTCAAGTGAGATAAATTGCATTAACAGTTTGTCACTTGCATGCAATGCAAAATAGTGCTGAAAAATATTCTTTATGCTTAAAGACTTTAAATTCCAATTCATTGCCAGCTTTGTTTACTTCCCTATAGATGCAAATATAACTCTTGGATATGGTAACAATCAGAGTGTCATATAAAATACCACCCTCAGAAAATAGAAATTATCAGTCAGTGGCACTTTGAAAGAAATAAAATACTCTTAAGAGTAAACCATGTGATTGAAAATGTTTTATTCTACATTTGGTGGAGATCAAGTAAATAATTATGAGCTCCACAGATAGATGAAACGAACTCTGAAGCTTATTGCATTCAGTTTTCCCATTTGCCTTTAAAATCACAGTAAGGTATCTGCATGAGCCAAAAGAAAATGAATCTTACTGTTTCATAGTAAGACAAGTCTCATTCTTCAGCAAATGCAAAACATTCAGGGAATTCAATTGGAATTGAGGCTGTTTTTTTTTTTTATGCTGTTCAATAAGTTATCAACCAGATCTGAATTCTAAGAAATTAAAGTATTTCAAAAATGGTATCAACAGTCTAGTTTTTAAATGAAAAAAGGTTATATACATGAAGAAAGATCTGCTTATGATACAGCTTAAAATTCACCTAATATATCAATAAAGTTTCGGAATGACCTTCAAATTAATAAATGTAATATATATATACTATATATATACAGAGAAGGTCATCTGGAAAGCTCTGTAGTTTTTCAAATTAAAGGAAGTTTTCATTTAATTATTTTGTTACTGCTGGATACAGACTGATGTCGAAGTAAATATACAAATATGGTCTTTTCTGATTCTATTCTATAATCCTAATGTGTGCTTACAGCAAAATTTTTTCATTGCAGTGCTAAAGAGAGGAAAACCCAAAAGTTCACTATCATAGTATGCTCTTTTATTTTGATAAAAACAATGCTAGCCAGACTGCCTGTAATATTAATACTGTATATGAAAAATATGCTGCCTCTGAATGACTGGAAATCCTCTGTAAATGAGTGCTTTCTCAAAGAAGCTCTCTGAAAATTCCCATTATAACAGTTCAGGAACTATCAAACAGATTATATGTTAAAAAATGTACAGTGCATGATCATTTGAAGAAGATTCAATATGTAAATCACTATGTATGGGCAGGGCCAGAACTTGATCAGACCGGGGGTTCTCAACTGATGGTACACGAGAGAAAAATTGGTGATAAGCAAAGTATTTTAACTACTAATTAAAAAAATAAAACCCCAACATCCTGATTTTTTTTTTCTCTCTAAAACTCATAAATTTATGCAATCTGAGCTTTGTTCAAGTTTAATAGCCGCTGATAGACTTTAGCAAGAGGCGAACGATCTGTCTGCATGGCAATTTTCATGGTTCTTCCATGTTGACCGTTTCATGAATATTCTTTTAGCTGTAGCAAAACAAACAAACAAACATAACAAAATTTGCCATAAAATGATGTTTTTACAAAAAGTGATAGATATGGATGCTGTATTTAATAGGAAATAAAAATAAGTTCCTATTAAAGAGACAATAGTATCTGATTAATTCTCTTAAGAGTTTAACGATTTATTAGCATGTCAGCACATCATTTCTGGGCTCATATTGCTCCATTTTCAATGAGAATAATTTCTATGCTGTCTCTAATAGTAGGTATTTATTTTATCTTCTTGTGCTTTGTATTCTTTACTTGCGATTTGAGAATATTGTCGCCTGTTTTTGAAGAACTCGTAAAATATTGTGCATTTAAATATTTATGAGAAAAAAATAAAACAAACCTAGATTTTCAAAAAGGAAAAATGGCTAGGATTCACAGGGGATGGATTCAGGACGATCTTCTAGCACTAAGAACTGAAGAAAAAGAAAATATTGTGTCTTGAAAATATAATGAAAGTTATTTATCATTTGGATTTACTTGGAATGGAGATAAAATGGACCCACAACCTCAATGTGTTGTTTGCGGTGAACTATTATCCAATCAAAATATGAAACCATCGTTTATTAAAAAACATCTTGAATCTAAGCATGCCAATTTAAAGGATAAATCTGAAGAATATTTTAAGAGGAAATTATCGGTGTTTAAAACTAGTACACAAGTAATGAAAAGTTTTGCTACTCCAAAGGAAAAAGGTTTGGAAGCTAGTTACCTGGTAAGCCTAAGAATTGCTAAGACTGAGCAGACTCGCACTTTTGGAGAAAACCTTATATTACCAGAAGCTAAAGATACCGTTTCAACGGTATTCAACGAAAAAGTGGCTAATGAAATTAGTAATATTCCGCTATCAAATGATAAAGTCAACGAATTCATTGAAATGGCAAAAAGAGACTTTTCCAAAAAATAAAACACAGCGAGTATTTCACATTGCAGATGGCTGAAAGTACTGATGTAACGAACTTTATTCAATTATTAGTTTACATTCGTTTTCAAGAAGATAAACAAATTGCCAAAGAAAGAGTGTTTATTTTGTGAATCTCTTCATGATAGAGCAACTGCCAATGAAATTTTCAAAGAAATTAAGAATTTTATGTTAGAGAATGACATTTCTTGTAATAAGTGCATTGGCATAGGCAGTGATGGATTTCAGCTTTAACAGGAAAATATTCCGGTGAGATTTCTCAAATAAAGAAAGTCTCGCATGAAATTAAATTTACTCAACACTCCATTCATCATGAAACTTTAGTAGTCAAAACAATCCGAGAAAACCTGAAAATCTTTTTGAATCAAGCTCTGAAAATTATAGATTTTATTAAAAGCCAAGCTTTAAATTCAAGAATATTTACGATTTTATGCAAGAGATGGGCAGCGAACATGAAATGTTTTGTTATATTCTGAAGTAAGGTTTCGAATAAAAAACTTCGATCAGAAATTCAAATTTTCCTCTCTGATTCAAAATTTGAATTTCAAAAATATTTATTTGAATTTTGGTTCATGCATTTAGCACATTTAGCTGATAACTTTGGAAAGGTAAATGAATTAAGTTCAGAATTACAAGGACAAAGTGTTAATTTGTTTACCATTCCAGATAAAATAATTGCAACGATAAAACAACTCGAGCTAATAACACTTTAAGCTTTTCACCACTTTTAAGAAAGTTTTCTAAGTGAAAATAAAAGAATTAGCATCCGACGTTAAAAATTGTTTTTCATTGATAAATAATTTCAACTTCTATTTTTCCAAAAATAATGAGAAAGGAAATATTGTGTCTAAAAATACAAGATTAAGAATTCATTTTGTTCAAATATATGCAAAATTTTATCTCATGAAGAAAGAGCAACTGATAGAAATTTCCTGTGATCGAATGAATATTTCAAAAACATAATATAGTTGTTAACTTTTCACTGAACGAAAAAAGAGAATTTCAAATAAAGTTATTAAATTTTTATTGCCCTTCCGTATAACTTATTTGTATGTCAAAGTATTTTTTTCAGTGTTCAAGTTTGATAATTAAAAATGGTAACCAATATTTATTCTAATATCTTTTTATGGGTGCATATTTATTCCTCATAGCCAATAGGTTAAATGGCAAAATATTTCTTCCACCAAAATAATTCTATTGAGAAATTGAAAAATAATCATTGTACAATGTAACGGTGGTACTAAAGTTCCTCAGTTTTTGTTTAGATGGTATGAGTTAGTGAAAAGGTTGAGAATAGCTGTCTTAAGCTATTTGCGATATGGGACCTTTTATAAGACCAGATATTATATGTTAGTGCTAAAAATGTTTGGATACTTAGAGGGTATTTGGGGGGGGAGGCCTACGCTATAGCTTGTGTAGCCTTATACATAAATCTTGCACTGTGTATAGGTACCCTACACTTTCACAGAACAGAATATGCTTGGTCGAATTTCACCATGCAATTCTTTCTGAAAAGAAATGAAGCTCCCACTTTTTTTGGATGGGTCATTGATAGAATTACATAAGTGGATACTATACAATAATTTCAGAATAAAAAGATCATGGTGTAAACTCATAGTGAACCTCCTTTAATAAGAAGGGGAACTGCTTTACAAATGGTTGGACGACAAAGGAACAGTGAATTATAAATTGTTACCACCAAATCAGACAATAAATTCAGAAAAATACTATTCCCAAATGACAGTTTAAAAGCAAAAATCGAATCTAAGTGAACAAGACACTGTCTTTCATCATGATAATGCGTGCTTTCATTTTATGGTTAGCATGAGAGAGAATTAAAAATCCGAAGTTCAATGAAAGAACACTTTAGAATTCATATGTATGTAAATACGCAGTTAATAAGACCACAGACTGCAATTATTGGGATAATCATTAAAGCAAGCATAATTCTTGCTAAAAAACAATAAAGAAATCTTGTTAAAATTAATAAAAAGTATACAAATACTACACTGCCCTAATCAGTATAACAATTAGTAACAAAGGCTGCTGCACCAAGTCTGGACAAGGATGCTTGAAAGTTCATTGTGCCTGTACATAGCAAGAACTTCAAATATTGGCAAACTGAAAATCCTTTTGACTACTTTGGTGGCAGGGAAAGAAATGCAAGACACCCTTGGCTCTCTTAGTGTGGAGCTGCACAGTTATTGCTGTAGGACCAATATTGAAATTTTAGTGTCTTGTCCATTTTAAAGGTCATAACAACCCTTCATCATTTAAAATTATAACATGTGCCATCTTTCCTACACAGAGGAAATAGGAAAGTTTTAGTAAATTAGAGAACTTGAGCCTTTTTCTGCAGCATACTTGAAATACCTATTCTGAAGGGGAAAAAACTATAAATTTGAGATATCCATCAGTATCAACATAAATCATCACTATGTTCTTGCATAATATTGAGCTAGACACAGATGACAAGCAGAGGATGTACTGAATTAAATCCAAGCCACTCTTGAATAAAGCTTTATCATGCTCCATTTAGTCATGGAACCAGTGGTTTAACCATTCCAATTTTTTTTTTTTTTTTTCTTTCCTTAACACAACACTAGGCTACATTCCTCATATTATTGCATACAGTCACAGTGGACTTGACATGCTGCATTTTCACACGTCTCCCACTGAGCACATCCTGTGACATTATTGCAAAAAGAACCAACTGCCAATTTTAATACTTTATGTGCTTGGTATGACAAAAATATTTTCATTCATGAAATGTAACGTATTTTCTGCACATGACAATTTTACATGCTAAATAAATTTGAATATCTGTTTCAAATTTTAGTAATTTCCATTAACATATCTATCAACTCTGAAAATTTCTAATACTCTTAAATCTCTTCTTGATGATCTTTTAATGTAATTTGTTTTTCTTTCACTAGTATATTATATTACTAGTGAAACAGTAATATGTTAATCAAGCAAGAAAGAATTCTGAAATTTTATCAAAATCATAAAGTGCTACAAGATGCTTTATTAATAAACCCTACTACTGTTCAGCATATTAAAAACTAAAAATATTATTAAAATCTAATTTTGAACAAAAAAGAGGAAAGTGACCAATACCTATTGAATAAATTGAAATTCACATTAAAAGTATACTTTGATCTTCAGCCAACTTCAATTTATGTCCTTTAATGCCATACTAAAAAAAATGGTATTGCTTTTTTTTTTTTTTTTTTTGCATTGAATTTCCATGAAATTTTTTGTTTTAATACAATTCAGAAGCAGAAATAACAATTCTTCCTTTATAATTATATTAATATATATGATATGTGATAATATAACTACACAGTTCTCACTGTCTAGTTAGTAATAAAGACAAAACTTTTGCATCAACAGCCTTAAATACTTTATTCAGCTTATTTAAGAGTACAGAACAAAGTGTGATGCTTTATAAATACACATAAAATTTATTTAAATAATGTACAAGTTCTTTGAAAAACAATAAGCAGTTTTGTGCCAGCCGCATTTGTCAAAAAAACATTTCCTGGAAACTTCCAAATGTTCTTTCCCATAAATCCCTAACCAGCACTTTTAAAAATAAAATTAGAAAGTTAATATGGAATGTTAAAAAACCTCAGGCTAGAGACCTACAACTTTAAAACTACACAATGTAAAGCCCCCATATAATTTGAGCTACCACCTCTGTAGGGAAATATTAAAAAAAAAAATGAAAGAAAGGATAACTTTATGTACAAATATCACCAAATGTAGCATTGAATAAATAATTCAGAAACAAAAAACTTATGGAGCAATTTTTAACATGACACATAAAAAATGTAAATTTAACAATGGGAAGCTAAGAAGATGTCAACAATTTAGCATATGTATTTGATAAGGTGGTAGCTAGAGGTATAAAATAACATGGGCCTAGTCAGGCAGACACAGATTCTGGATGAGGCAAGAGACAGATATCATTTCCATTGGTGATGTTCTCACAATCAGTGCTGATATTGGCATTGGAAAAATCAAGCACTTCATCCCCAAAAGCTTCCAGTAAATTGGACCAAGTTGGAAGTTGTTGTAAGTATGTCCTATAAGAAAGAAATTAAAACATTATTTCTGAAAATGAATTTTTAATAAAGTAAAAAGACAAAAAAATTTTTGTAAATCATTTCATGAAATAAACTGAACATTCATACGATGAACTCAGGAAATATAGAAAAAAATTGACATAGGATATTTAAACATAGGCTGCTTTTTAAAAAATGATATTTAAACATAGGCTGCTTTTTAAAAAATTTGAGATCTTGAATTTTAGACGGCATGCGTGTGAAGAAAGTGATGTTTAATAAATAAAGTTAAAAAGACAAATTAAAGTCAGTAGGAGCAAGAGCAGAGATTGTTAAACTGCAAGCTTAGAGAATAAAAATCCTTAACAAATACTCTGGTCTCCTTCCATTATTTATTTTATTTATTTATTTTTATATATTTATAAAATTTTCTTGTGCAGAATATTTAAGCTTCTCAGAAAGTAACTGATTCAAATTATTAAGTGCATTCATATTACCACAGTGATTTGAAAACTACCTCTGGAAATACGTTTCATGTACAATTCTAAAAATGAGGAAATTCATGTCAAGAAAGAAAAGCGCCTCCTACACTACGCTTCTGTTTCAGAATATTACGATTATGATGATTATTATTTTTACTTTTACATACTTTAAACTGACTGCTTAAACATTTAAAGATAATGAAATGAATATTAGTGTTATAGCTATTCTAAAATATGAAGCATATGAGGCAAAATTTGACAGCCACTGATTTAGTAATTAACTTTTAATTAACATTTCAGTGAATAATGTTCATCATGGATAAGGCAGCAGTGTTCCCAGATATAAATCAGTATTTATTTATCAACAACATAATTAGAAACAAAATTTCTTTTGTAAATTGCATGTCTCCTAATCACAATTCATGTTTAAACCACACTAGCCTAATTACAAGTTGCATTATAACAACAACTTACAAGACAGGAAAAAAAAAATCAGCTTTTTCAATATCTAAGAATTCCATTACTTTTAAATATAGCCAATATACATATGATGACTTGTTCTGCCTGAATTGATACTTTAAAGTATGGATTTAACATGGCCATAATATCCAGTAATTTACATATGGAGAACTTTTAATTCAAAATTTAACAAAAACCTTAAAAACAATATTTTAACAGTAATTAGATTACATTTAAAAATGTATACAACTTTAAACAAAAATATAATTTTGGCTTTTTCTTAGAAACATGCTACTACTTAATGCTATTTAAATATTTTATTAAAAAGTTAATACTTTCCATGGCCATTCCAAGTTATCAATTTTTAATGCTAATATTTAAATTACACAAAAGTACTAAGTACTAATAAACATATAACCTCATTATATGAAGTGAAATACTATAGGTGGCGATGACGCACCAAAAGAGTTTGTTAGGCCTTGTAACTCATCGTGAGCAGACACATATCTTGAAGCGACGAAAGGGCTAAAATCCTATGGCCCCACTCTTGAATATGCATACAGTATTGTGTATTATCATCATAATAAACAAATGTTGTGTGTGAACTTCGCGTTATCCTTGAAAAGTTACCGACCACAAAAGCATCTGGCAACTACACCTCTGGACACTTGGAGCTTTCATGATCGCTCACCTACACCTCAAAAGAACAGCAGCTTTTTTTTTCTTTCTATAATATGATTTTAACACTTTTTTAATACAACATCTTTTCTTGAGGACTAACATTAGCAGGCATCAGAAAGCATAAATTAAAATTTCTTAAAAATCCAACTCCAAGTAATTTTACTTATGCAAAGTTTTCACTAAGTATAAATGTTTTAACCAGTTGCCTACCAAGTTTTTAAACTTAACTAATAAAGGATTTTGGTTTCCTTGAAAAAATTATTACATTGTTAAATTTTTTAATTTGGTGTCAAAAAATTGTTCCGCTACTATAGATATTGACTAGCATACTTGTCCATGACATGAAATGGAGAAATTTAATGGCGAGTACACTCATCCACAGTGGTCCATATGTTAAGGGACTGTAACAGAACTTAAAATTTAAAGGAAAATAATGGGCACTTTTTTTTAACCATAACTTACAAGACATGAACAGGAAGGATGCACTTCATGACAGGCTTCTGGAAACCATTGAAAGTTGATGCTGCACATATTGTATAAGCACCCATGTTCTCAAACATTAACCATTCTCCAACATTCATCAATGGCAAATGGCATGTCTCCAAGATACGATCCATACTATCACAAGTCGGTCCCCACAGACTGCTTTTCTTAATTGGTCGATTTTCAGAATCCTAAAATGGCACAAAACAATCAGTTAATTTCAGCAATGTATGTAATTTTTTTTTATAAATAAAACAATAAGGAAAAAATTTCACATTAAAAACCATACACATCTCATCTGAAGACCTCTAATTTTTATATTTTAACTTGAAAATTTTGGTTAGTCTTCAAAAGGTGCATGAAACAAAAGATAAAACATAAAACCACGATATATTTTTATTAAATTGATCAGCAAAAGTTTTTTTAGTCTTTGCTTCAGTTTGTTTTTAATATGAAGTTGAAAGCATGTTACATATTAGGCTCAAATTCTTAAATCGATGCTCTAAATCAGGTATAATGGGGAAACAAATACAAATAGTCTATATTATTAAACAATGGAAAATGTGTATATAGAGAGAAAACATTATTAAATGTGAAATATATATATATATACACACACACAAGTGCACAAAAGGCACTTGAGGAAGAGTACAATCTAGAGCATAGCAGAATATACTGATACGTTTACTAGCATTCACATGTCTAGTAAATAATTTTCTTAAACATGACATATCAAGTTAATTTTTGCTTATCAACCGAGTAGCTTTTATGTTTCCTGAAATATACATTAGATACAGTCTATTCTTGACATTTTATAACAAATAATACTGAGCATAAGATGTGTCATTCGAAAGAAAGTTACGTACACAATAAAGTTAATTACAATAACTACTATGCAGCAAATGCTTCAGTTTATTTTTATATGAATTTGAAAGCATGTTACGTATTAGGCTCAAATTCTTAAATCAATGCTCTAATCAGGTATAACAGGGAAACAAATACAAATAGTCTATATTATTAATTAATGGAAAATGTGTATATATAGAGAAAGCATTATTAAATGCGAAAACATATACAGAGAGAGAGAGACTGCATGTTAGTCCTCTATCTGAACATGTGCACTTTAAAGCCAAAATTTTAAATTTGCATTAATTTCATATTTTCTGCAAATATAATGACTTTTTGATTAATAAACACAGTGATTTAAAAAATCTATTGCCACTCAGTAAAGTGTAAGGATGTCTTAAATTTAATCAAGAAACTCAAAGGTTTAAAAGTTGTGGCACACAGCCTGAAATTAAAATGCTTTTAACCTGCACATGACAGTATGCTGCCATTCTGCAAAGTATAAGATTATTTTGTTTTTCTCTCAAATTTAATCTTTGTTATTGCACAGCTTATTAGAGACTTGAAAAGCAATAAATGCAGCTCTTTATCTGTTTTTTTAATTAGCAGTTGGACTCATTAAAATCATTATATATTTTTTCTTTTATATAATATTTTAAGCAGCTGGCCACATGAGTGGCAAGTAATAGGAAGTATTCAGAAAGAAGTACATATTTCATATCTACTGTACATACTTATGACTAAATAGAATAATATATTTTGCATAAACTAGAAATATTTACCTTTACTACATATGATACATTGAAAAGTATGATAAACTTACAATTAGAGGAATAGGCTGGACTTCAGCATGATCAAATATCAGGCAGTTGAAAGAGCCATACACGCCATCATTCACATAATACATGCAGGTAGGCTCATTAGCTAAAAAAAAAAAAAAAAAAAAAAAAAAAAAATTATCCCTTATTATATTTCCCATTAGATATCTATAATTAAAACAAATCAAAGAATATGAAAATATGGTATAATTCAATAAGCTTCAGTAATTATTTAGATTTAAATATCATCAAGCTGATGTTTAAGTCTTTAAAAAATATTGAAATGACTTAATTTAAATGAATGACAAACTATTTTAATGCATTGCCTACTCCCGAACAGAAGTTCAAAATTTGCCTGCTACAAATCAGTATTCCTTTAACTATACCTGTAGCTTAAAAAAAGTCAGGATCCTCCCCTACAATGTATGAATATTTATATCTAATGCCTTATTACAATTTGATTTTCCATAAAGAAAATGGAAACTCATTAAATTATAATTAATCACTTAAAATCAGTTAAGAAGTCCACTAGATATGAAAACACACATATTACTGCTAAAATAATGTACATGATTTACTTTTACTGAAAAATTTTGATATATTAGGTTTCAAACTATGCTTAAAACTCTGATTTCTGGCAGTCTGAAAAGTTTTATATTATCAAATAAATAGAATTAAACAAAACCCTTTCTACTCAGATTAAAATAATTACAAAAATACATACAAGGGTATCTTCCTAAATTACAGGGAGGGAGGGGGAGAATGCTTACAATAAGCTACAGAATAAAAATATATCAATTATTTTCACAAATTTTAGACTTTCTTAATCTCATCAATAAAGAGCTTTATTTAAAGAACTAAGAGTTTAAAATAAAAGCATAGCTTCAGAAATACTTACTGTCTTCAGAGATAACTTCTCTTTTTGCAATGATGTTGGTACACAAGGTGAAGGCAGATGCAACAAAGTATCGACCTGGCTCAGCAATGATCCTGACGCCACATTCTGGTGGGAAATGCTCATCTAATGCTTGGTTTACAACAGCAGAAATCTGAGAAAGGAAAAAAAATATATATATAATAAAGACATGAATTATTCTCACAAAGAAATTAATACTGCATATACAGAGAATGAAACTAAGAAATAGCTAACATTAATTTTGCAATCTTTATAAAATTAGAAGCAAGCTGCTTATTAAACTCCAGAAATCAATGAAACCTCATACAATAATCAATAATACACATGCGTTGCATATGATAATCTACAACTAAAAAGAAAATGCTCATGATGTTTAAAGAGATAGCCATCTAAAATACCATGTTATAAAAACAAATTAAGATTCAAAATAACCCCTTAATAATAAATTAAGATTCAAAATAACCCCTTTTAACATAATAAAGGAGGCCCCGGAATATGTTGAAGCATAAATAAAAAAAAGGTTATGAATATAAGAAAAACGTCCTTTCGTGTACATTAAAAGAAGCTTACATTTAAATAACACATACTTGCAATATACTCTACATTATTTCTAAAACGATCGACAACTGAAATGATTTCACATTATGGGATTTTTATTTTAAAAATTTTAAGGAATTGTAAGTATGAAAGATTCTATGGCATAAAAAGTTGCATGCATACCAGTTCATAATACATTGAATGCACAAGTTTAATAATAGGCAAATAAAATTTATTCTTATCACAAGAAATAGAACACTGGATTTTTCCTCAAAGATATTCATACAATTTTACACAATATAATCAGTAGTTACACTTTAAACTACTAAAACATTAAGTAGAACACAATCCACAGCATAGAGAAAGCTAATCCGATCAACAATATAGCAGGCTAAGTAAACAACTGAGCTGAGATGTTTCTCACAGGCTTTTTAAAGCTTTCAATCGGCCACAAGAGAATTCTAGTAATTCCTTTACTTCTCATTATTTCTCGAAAGCAAAAGCGTAGAATTACAAGTTAAAGCTTACGGAGTAGTTAATTGCATTTATTCAATTTCAATATAAATTACGAGATGTCTATTAAATGTTAAATGCACGTGCTCGAATATTTTTACTTTTCCAGCATAGCTTTCTCTTAAAATAGGCCTTGTGTTTCATTGTAAGAGGAAATAAAAATTTTAATTATAATTCTACTAACATTAAGCTATCTAAATACAAAATTTGTAACAATATTAAATATTTTTAAATCTACACCTTGATCAACTTAGGATTTGTTTGAAATATGAACACTCAGCTTTTGATGATGACAATTTTATTACCTACAAATGGAGAAGTTTTACAGCACAAACGTTTCATATCAATATTGTGAAACTTACTTCCTCAAAAGAAATAAAGGGTCCTTTGGTTCCAGGAAAGCCACCACCAATATCCAAAAGCTCCATATTATACCCAATATCTGCTGCAATGTCAAACACATGTCTGCAAGAAGCAATTGCTGTTCTATATGCTGATGCATCTTGGCACCCACTTCCAACATGAAAACTAAGAAAACAAACAAAAATAAAATGTAGCTATCTAAAACTGTCCATAAATACAAGCTTGACACTAAAGACATCTGATACTGAATTTCATATTTTAATCCGATTTTTACAAAATTTATTAAAATGTAATATTTGGCATCATACCTTACACCTACAACATTCAGATCTAATTGTTTTGCAACTCCAAGAAGATGGGGAACTTCCTCGATATTACATCCAAACTTTTGCCCTAATTGGCATATGGCGCTGCTGTCATCCACCCTAATACGAATGACTAGTCTGAAAAAAAAAAATAATAATAATAATAATAATAAATAAATAAAATAAAATGCTGCAAAATATCACATTAATATTAGAATTAAGAAATTTTCTCTATTAACTGCAAGTAAAGATTTCACAGCATTTAACAAACATTTATGAATATCAGAATGACTTAGATAAATCCTTCAGTAGCTTAAAAATTTGCCTCTTAAATCTAAAAGAATAACTAACCTATCTGATCATTACATAAAAGCAGGATATTTTAATATAAATTCTAATACTCTACCATTTTCCAAATTATTATATAATTACAAAGGCTATGTTCTGTGAACATTATTAAACGTTCTCTAATAGAAAGATTGCTGCTGTCCCCATTCAGGAAAAAACCTTAAATACAAAGTAGTAAATAGGAAAATTTCTAGAGAGACTGTCCCCCCCCCCAAAAAAATCAACTTATTATCAAAACAACTTAAGATTATCTCACATTTTAAATGTATTATACAAGCTGCATAGGAAATTTTAACCTGAAAATTGACGCAACCTACACAAGTGAGGTAACGGTATAGTAAACAGATTATGTCCGACCTAATGCAAACGACAACAATACCCCTAGTGGCGAAATTTGGAAGATAGGCATTGCAAATCAAAAAGAGCAAAATTTACAATTAGAAAGATTTAAAGCATCAGTTAATTAGTATGAAACGATATTTGGTCTATACGGATAAGATAAATTGTCGCCTGTATACCCGAAAATGTCTGCAATTGCTGCGAGACGATTCTACTCTGCATATTCAAATTTCGGAAATGTAGCAATGCGCAATCGCAGATTTTATCGCTGTATCGTACTCTGTTGTAACGTCTGCAAAAATTTAATTTCCAATGCATTTAAAATTTTCGTTTAAAAAGTACTGGCTCTCGCTTCATACAAACAGCATAATCTCAATGGCAGATGGTAACATTAACTTGATATCACTGTATGACAGTTTGCTTTTGCATTTTTTTTTTTTTGTGTGTGTGTGTGATGTTATCAAACTGTATTGACATAAGCATGTATTTTATGCAGTAAAAAGGTGCATATTTCTTAATACCTATGGCTATTCTTTCAAATGTTTACACAAAATAAAACGCATTAACTGCGGACATCTTTGGGTATTAGGCAAGAATTTATCTTATCCGTATGAACCAAATCTCATTTCACACTAATTAACTGATGCTCTAAAATTTTTTAATTACAAATTTTACTCTATCTGCTTTCGTTTTGCAATGCCCACTTTCCAAATTTCACCACTGGAGGTGCTGCTGTTGTTTGCAACAGATCGGGCGTAGTCACTAGACAGCTGTAGCTCTATCCATTCGGAAGAATTTTCAGGTTAAAGGGATTTTCCTATACAACTTATATATACTGCCTTTATTAAATATATTGAGGCCATTATTTAATGAAAAACTGACGTTTTAAGCATAATCTATAATATCTTCACATATTTATATAAAACTTACTTGGCATTTGGATGGCGAACTTTAACTTTAGGCAGCTCCATTTCATTATCGAATGTCATCAGATCAACACCAACACTGGCTGCATACTTGATATAAGCACTAGTTTTGCAAGGATTGGCGTAAATGATTCGAGATGATTCTACTCCAATACTCAAAACACTTTCAATTTCAGCCTACAATATAAATTATGTTAGATATTTAATTTTGACAGAAGGAAATATAACTGCTGCTGAGAATAACAAAATACTGAAAACTTACTTTGCTAGCACAATCAAAGCCAGTACCCAGGGCAGCCAGCAGATGAAGCACTGCAGGAGCTTCATTGCATTTGACAGCTGAAAAAGGTACATTTTGTAAATATACAGAATGAGCTACAAGTTTTGAGACAGACAAGTAGAATATCACATGCATACACACATACATAAAGCAAATAAATTCTTACCATAAAAAGGCTCAATTCTAGGCATTTTTAGTTTCCAGAGTTTGTATTTGTAAACAATATCTGCCAGATCTGTCACAAAGAAGGGTTCCTCTTGATCCTAAAAGAAAAAAGTAAACATTAAATAAATGTCAGATGATTTGATGTATACACAGAAGCAGATACATAATTCTATATAGAATGAATTACTGCACTAGGAGGAAAAAATTTTCGGATTAAAAAAATTTCCATTGATAGCTTAACAATTATAGGATGTATCTGATGATATTTCAGAATTTTTTTAAGAAACTAACCATTATGATATGATTTTATTTGAATCCTATTACAAAGCAACTGAATGACCGAGGATTACAGCACGTGCTTGTAAAAGAATACACTAACACTTGCTAGTTAATTTTATTAACAAATCAACTATTTTACCTATACAAAAACACCATTTATTGAAACTAACTTTGATTAAAACAAGATAATTATTCTTTCAGTATTGCTTAATTTACTTTTTCTGTAAACTGAATGTACCTATTTGTATTAAAATTATATTTATGATTTCTAGACTAACAAAATAAAAAGGTTAAGCACATTGTTCAAAACATGTAATGCTACTTTATATTCTACAATTAAAACCCTTAACAAGTTACTATACTTCTTCTACATGGATGAGGAGAAATAAGAAATGTTTTTCAAATAACTATGGATAACACAAGTTGGCAACATTGCCTCGAGATAAATGTCATGTAGCAGCTGCAATTTTTGCTACTATTTTGCTAAGTTTATTTATGATTATTTGAATATAACCTGTTGACAGCAATTTATTGCTATGAAAAGCTTTCCTTAGTAAAGGCTAAAAATTAAAAACCCAGATATTTAGTGATCTACCGAGAGACAGGATGAAAAACCTGGAGTCTCCTGGTTACACTGCGAGAACTGGCAGCTATAAATTTAGTAAAAAAGAAGGGAAAAATGGAAGAGAGAAAAAGTTTGGGAAATCCTTGTATTGAACACATGAGGGAGAAAAGCCAACATGTGCCAATAAGGTACTGAAAATATATGGCATGGCTTTTAACAAGAAAGTACCATACCTTACTTCTGATACAAATTCTCTCACAATACAATATGGTGCCATGACATGATCATCATGTTTCCCAAACACTGTAGGTATATCAACTTTCTAATTTAAAGTACTATACAGTCCATAAGATTATGAGGATAATGTTACAGTGAGTAATGATACACTTCAGAGTAATGATGCACTTGAGAAAGTAATTCCAACAATGTATACAATGACTATCCTTTGAAAAACATTTTCAAGTTGTGAGAATCAACACAAAAATAAATAGTATGTAGATAAAAACTCCAAAAATTCATTAACAAAATGACTAGTCTAATTTCATTTCCCCCCTCCCCAACAAAAAAAAAAATCAAGTTTCTGCTTAGTTTCATACTATATGAAAAATTAAAGAACAATGGGCCTCTATAAATCTCAACTGAAAAAATTTAATATTCACAATTACATAAAATAGATTTCCAACTAAATCATATGCAAAATTTACCTTAAATTTTATGAGTAAAACTCTGGATACTTACTGTATGATTGACAATTTCTGTCACTACATCGAAGGCATTTTTGTCGGTGACGATTTCGACAGATGGGGTTCCCAAAGGAGATTTCATTTTTAATACACAGGAAAATTCACTTGAGAAGATACAGAAAATGCAGTAAAGTAATGGAAGATTCCAGGAAATGCTTTAAAGCTGTTGTGAATAAAATTTTTAAAATATGTAATGGAATGTTAAACATTACATATTACAAACTTATCTTTTTATCCAAAATTATTACAGCAAAAACTATGTAATTTTTTTAAAATTTCAACCTCTTTTTAATACTACATGGTAAGCATGTGCATGATATGTTACTAAAGAGAAAAACTTTTATTATATAGAATGCATTTTTAAATCAAAAAACAGAAAAAGGTCTAATATTTGAAGTTTTCAAAAGATCACATTTTAGAAGGTTTGTAGAAATCTTTAAAAACTAAAACTACTTATTCATAAATATAATAAATTTGCACCATTAAAAAAAGATGGCACAGAACATGCATCATGTTAAAAATCTGAATATGTACTGAAATTTTCTTAATGACGTACTAATTTAAATAATAGTCTACTCAGTTAAGATTGAGGGAATGAATAACTCTTGATATTAGAATCTTCACGGAGGAAAATATAAAAAAGACAGTCAAATCCTGATTACAAAATAGTCTTGTTTCAATTCCTCTTCATGATAAATCTGAACCATGAAGTCAGTACCAAATTGATCCAAATTTGAATGGAAATGAAATTCAATGACCATGAAGTCTGCTCCAAATTAATCCTAATTTAGTCCTGGATTTTCACTATTTTGCATTAATGTGCAAAAACATATGTAGGTCTCATCTAAGGCTAAAATAGCATTTTCCTCCAATTTCTACTTTTAACCTTTTTAATAGCAATTCATGTGCATATTATTGGTTCTCGTACGGCTGAAAAAATTTATCTAGAACAAATAGCGAAAGTGGAATCAAATGATTCTGAAGGGAGATGCAGTAAATGATATAGTAACCTCTGTTGAACAAATATAGATATGCAACATGCTCTCACCAAATAAAAAAAAAAAATCTTATGTGAGGCTTAGTACATTTACTTGTCATGTAAAAAGGTGTTTAAAATTTTAAAGAACTAGATATTTGAAATTTACTAAAAATTAATATCTTGTAATATATGAAGTTTAAACGGGATAAGTGTTAATGAAACCAACAACCAAAATTAATGGTTTGATTCAAAAAGCAAGTTTGATTCAAAAAGCAATCAGCCAAATATTGTGCCATTTACAAGTGCCTATAGTGCAAAAAGACTAATAAAATCAAATATTTTTATATGAGATTTAATAAATTTCATTGAAATTACTACTTTGTTTGTTTAATCAATTTATTTTTGAATTTTGATACTGTTGGTCTCTACAGGCAGACATGGTCCAAATGGAAAGTTCACTGTCGGACACCATGCTCAACTTCTTTCCTTTATTACTAAAGTAACAACTCTAACTTGGAAATTCACTAATTGGAAAACTTTTTTCACCCTTCAACATCATGATATAGCCTAAACATGGCTTCATATTTCATAAAAACTTTAATAATCACTTACGTTACATTATGGACTGGATGTTTATTTGGTATGTCTACTATTGTTTGTGCACTTATTAATTTGAATGTATCTGTCACCAATTTCCTTGCTTCTGCATATGATATATTTTTAGTTACTTTTACTGCCTGCAATTCCTTTCCTGATTTCAATTTAGGATACAGGTGATGATGTTTCCGATTTGGAAGATATAGATGACGTACTGGAAAATATCATTGCAATTGACATTCCAGGTTCATTAGAAAAACATGAAGGGAGGTGTTAATAAACAGGCTACGATCCCAAAGAAAAAGAAATTTAAAAAGGGAAAAAATTCATATCGAAGTGGAATAGAAAACATGCATTGTTCAACATGTTTAGACATAGAGATCGAAAATGCAATTAATGTAAAATATAAAGAGCGAAAGGTAAACCACCAGCAGAAGTTTTTTAAATGTTGTTTACAGATGATTTAGTAAAAATATATTAATATATATAAACATACAGTACAGGAAAGTAATAATAGTCACCAGTTTACACTCTCTCTGGAGACAAAAAATTTCTTGGGATTTTTAATGTTAACTGAATATTGTTTTTTACCTCAACAGCAGATATACTGGTCAGAAGACATAAATATTGGAATTGTATGAAAATGTATGACAAAAAATTGTTACACTGAAATAAAGAGAAACCTACATTTTGGTAACAATATAAATATACCAGTAATAAGTGGGAATAAGACAAAATATGCCCAATTTTGGATGAGCTAAATAAAACTTTTATGCAGTATTTTTATATCATCTGAATATCGATGAAAAAATGGTGCGTTATTATGGTCATCATTTTCTGAAGCAATTTATTAGATGCAAGCCTTTGGTTTCAAGCAATGGGCCACAGTGGTGTGACTGAATCCAGTTACTGCCAGTTTCCCAAGCCACTGGTGCAAGATAAGAGCAAGTTTTCCAAATGCACAACAAATTTTTGTTTGAGAATTACTTTACAGTGCATAAATTTGATTGTGATGCCATTCTCACACTTTTTGTGAATGATTGTAATGTTTTTTAACTTTTAAGACATGGTAGACAATTTCATTTCTTATGATATATAACCGAAAATCAGGATACCAAACAAAAAATTACTTTGTTAGGTTCATGAACATTCAGGAAAGTTGAATAAAGTTAAATATCATGTACACACCAAATCTGGTAATTTCACTGTTAGATAAGGATTTTTTTGCAGTAATGTACCTTACTATCATTGTTAGATATTATTCTAGCAATTTTTTTTAATAACTCGAATCAATGAGATCATGAAATATTTCTCAGTCCCATCTTCTTTATCATTATTATTTTTTAAAGCTGTTTATTTCAAAACGGGGAATACAGACTTCCTCTTATTTTCGTGACAGTAAAACGTTTCACTGGAATTAAATTGAAGATTCAACCACTCTTGGATAATTGTGATTATGGACAATACACAATGCCTACACACACAAAAAGGTACAATAAATTATACAATGCTTTCTCGAAAAAGGCAAGTTTTAATTTTCCTGCATCATATATAATTCTTGTTTGATAATTAAAAGTTGTATTTTAAATTTCTAAAATGTATTTTCTTTGGATATGTTGATTAATGTTTGCTGACTTATAATAAATAACAAGCTGGTAATATTTTTACAAAAGTTGCCAAAACTGGCAACTTACACCCAGCAAGTAATTTTTACTGAAAGGTCAAATGCTTCAACAACTTTTTCATAATAAAGAAGCAAAATAATACAGATTCAACAAAAATTCACTCAGTTTGGGGAAAATCCTCTCAATCTTTAACCAAACAACCTTGTTTTTAAACAGTATGGTCTGCAATTGAAATGCAATGTTAACAGTATAATGATATAACAGTTATAATAATTTGCCATTGTTAACAGTATAATCTGCAACTTAAATTTCAAGTGATAGCAATTTATCACTATTTTGTTATCAGGACCGGATTCAGAAATGTATGTATGCACGTATGGGTGTATGTGTTCATGTATATATATGTAGGTACATATGTATGTATGTGTATAAAAACACATATGCGCACTTACATGCATAAACACATGAATACATACATACATTTTTTAATTCGGTTCCAATAACAGAAGAGTACCTACATTACTTGTAAGCAATTTCTGGATCAATGTGCCCTTTTCTAGTAAAACACATTTTAATAATCCCAAAACTAAATATCAGTAAAATATTGAAATGTATACACAATAAGTTTACATAATTTATAATATAAATTATGGAACTTTTTGACACAAAGTGCAAAAATTTTTGCTGGTGTCTTACATGGCTAACACTCAGCTTCGTAGGTCTAGTCAGCTGGTATCCCAAGGTGGACCACCCTCGCACTCGTATGTTAGAAGGAAAACTACTGGGAACGTGAAGGCAAGCCTTCCCTAAAAACCAAAACAGGAAAGTCAGAGAAGCATATTTTACAGTAATATAGCATTAAAAATGATAAATATGATTTATGAATGTTAAGTTAGTAACAGTTAAACAGACTTATAAATTATTCACTGCAGCTTATTTTTTTTTTCATGAGAATGCAGAGTAATAAAAATGAGACATTCTGTAACTGTTAATACCAAATAAAAGAAATTATTTTTATTTAATAACCAATAAATACAATTAAAACTTAATATAAAACTCATTAAATGCTAATTATGCTTAGCAAAAGCTCCTGGTTAAAACACGAAATAGAATGAAGTGCACGCTCTGGCACATTGCATCGAACTAGCAAATTTTTAGAAAATATTCCCCCCCCCCTAAAAAAATCAATCCTGTTAAAATGTAACACAAGTTTTAAATATATTTTTTATTTCAAGAAAACTAGAAAGAACGCACACTGTTCTTATAATTATTATTGAGCCATTATGTCATGGGATTAATTTTCTTATCAGATAGAGATTAAGGATTTAAAACATTTTATATATCCATCCTAAAAAATTCTGTAATTCTACCTGTAACTAACTACATTATAATTTGATACACATCCAAAAAACATCAATCAATCCTTTAACCAAATGTACAAAAAAAAAAAAAAAAAAAAAAAAAAAAAAAAAAAACCAGTGCATTATGATGGGAAAATTAAAATGCTTAACATCAATATGTAAGCTAGTATAAAGTCATTATTTGAAGTGACAATTCCAAACTGTATGTTTTCAGTGACAGACATCAACAGATTAGTTCAGAACGTCATTTATTTTGATGGTTTTTCAAAAATTCTTATTTAACTTTTTTTAAGTTCAACAATATACCAGTATTTAAAGGTATTATTTTTAAGTTCAACAACATTAAACAACAAAATTAAGGCCAATAAGCTGGTCAAGAAAATGTTTCGAAGTTAGAAAACAGCAGCTCTTCATGCTTTACCTCGCAAATTTGTACTTAAGTACATCTACTGCCAATGAAATTTGGTGGAATTACTGTCAAACTTGTGTGGAGCATTCCATTGGAAATTTAAAAGAACAGATCACTTTTTATTATTAAATAATAAAGAATTTATATGCATATATGTTTCTTGCATTATGGGAAAATGGCACCACTTAGTGCCATAGAATTTTCAACACATGTTGTCCTCTACACAAAGGAAATTGCATACAAAACGTTAGTTTAATTAATTATGCAAGGCATTCTAATAAAATGAGAAAGCCAGTCAAAAGACTGAGTAGTAAAGTTAATCCGCACATGCTGGATCCAATGGATCTGCGCAATTAAACAAACTTCTCTTGATGAAAATTGTTAAGCTCTAAGCGTTGTCCTGTCTGAGATGTGATGTTTCCAAAGTTTTTTCACTTGGGCTTTGATTCAGAGTCTTGATTTTGATCAAATTGGTTTTTTTTAGATTCAGCGTGCCTATTCATATTACTATTACATATTTGATTTTTGATAGTTTAAAAAATGACAATAGATGGAGTTCTTGAGAATATTTTTAAATCTTAGATTATACTAGCTGGACTCATTAAAATATTATTTTTCTTTTTTATGATATGCATGGCAGGCCACTTATGTGTTTAGTTTAATCAAATGAACAAATACAAGTTATGGGGATAGCATATAAAAAATATGACATCAAGCTTCAAGATGATCTAAAAAATAAATGTATTACGGAGAAAACATAAATAACAACATATGAATTAAATTTCCTAAAGATTTAAATTGCAGAATAATGCTATTCTTTGTAAGTGCATTTTTATTTTGGTGAAAGTGCAGAATCGCCCACTGCTTGGCATGTTTTTCAAAATCGCCAACTTGGTGCGGTCTTGCGTCTTGTCTCCTGGATTTGCAACCTGTCCAGAAGACACTACGCAAGGCACGACATTTACAATGACGAAGAGTTAAAATATACAAAATAACAGTTGAAAACTGAAAATCCTTTAAAAACAGCTTAATAATTTTAAAAAACAAACATGGTTAAGAAAACATAGTAAGCTTCAAAAACACTAAATTGTTACAAAACACTGAAGAATTAAAATACATTCACAGGAAAAAGTGCAGAATCGCCCACTGCTTGGCACGTTTTTAAGAATTGCACATATTCGGTATCCATGTACACGTCCACCTATTTTCACTTAAAAAAAAAAATCCCAGAATTGCACAAAAATGTACACAGACATATTTTCACTTTAAAAGTCAAAGGAAATTGACAAAAATCCAATTCTTCTTACTCTTGTAAAAAGCGCCAAACAAATAAGTGGGCGATTCTGCACTTTAGCCTTTATTTTTGCAGGAGATAAAAACTTTATAAGAATAATAGGTTCAAGTGAAATATAAGATATATGTTAAACTTAGCAATTTTGTTATTAGGTAACGATTTTATTTTGTAACCTTATTTTCGCTGTCAGATAATACTGTAGCAAACTTTAACTTTGGGATTGTTGGATGCCAGTGCACATTGCTAAAATTGTACAGTTCATTAAAAATATTAATGAAAACAGATTGCTATGTATATGTAAAGAACAAATAAAAAATTGGATATATTTTTCAAAAAGCACAAGTTTGATTTTTTATTGCATCATGTAAATCTTGCATAATAATTCAAAGTTTTTATTTTAAATTATTAAAGAATGTTTCTTTTTGATATGTTGATGTTTGCCTATTTACAATAAATACAGATAATTGAGAGATCTCTTTAAAAAAGTGACCAAAGGTCAGTAACTTGTACCTGATATGTAAATTTTGTAATCATGTAACATAATCTAGCATTAGTCAACAGCACTAATACTTCCAATCATAAAATAACATGTTAAGCATCAATTTTTCTACTTTAAATTTCAATGACTGGTTTTGATAATTCAATTGCCAAGCATAAAACTTTAATGGGCTGCCACTAATTTGAAGCTTCAGCTTTAATAGTCACAGTAAGTAATTTGAGAAATAAGAATTTGCAATTTATGAGAAATTTTTCAGTCAATGTCAGGGAAGGGAAAAGTCTATGAATTTTAAGTTAGAAAAATTGTGATTTTTAGTAATGTGGATTTAATGGGTACTGTATTACATAATATTAAAATAACTGTGCAAAAAGAAATTATTTTTCAAACTGTTCATTTACGAGAAACAATTTTAACACACCTTTTTCCAAATGCACACAATATATCTAAAAATACTATAGCTGACAGACTCTGAAGAACAAGGTACTCTCTACACTAGTTCTAGGAATGAAAATTATATTAATATATTACAATAAACATTTGTTTTTTCCATATAGAGAAAATATTTTCCATTTAGATTCCTCAGCTAGTTTAATTTAATCATTAAATAGAAAATCATAATTTAATCATTTAAAATAGCAAATCAAGCATAAAAAAAACTCAAATTAAGATATTCCTCGATTCCGAAATGCACGTAAGAGATAGAATATACATGGAAATTACAGCAAATGAATACATGTAATGAAATCCGCATATACTTTTTGCACATCATTTATTGAATACTTTTTTTTCTTCTACATGTTTAATCACATTCAATACAAAAGTTAAATCAACCATTTGAGAAGAAATGACATTTCATTTCAACTTACAATAGAACGTGAAATAATTTTAGACTCAGACTTAAGAGTTGCCGTGTATCAAAATAAGAGCTGAGGAATTAAAAAATACTGAAATTCAGAACTTAAAAGAATACTGGTTAGCGATTAATCTCACAATTTACTGTGAATATTCAATCAGGTAGCAACAAGCACTTTTTCTGAAAGACACCATTGCACCTCCAAATAGAAGGTCACATGGCCATTAATCGGTTTATCAGCTATGTTGCAGATTTCAACCGAAAACTCTAAAACGACATTTCGAATACGCTGTATAAAATTATTGCTAATAAAAATAATTTACGACAGTTTCAGATTAATTCGGTTCGTTAACGTTATTTTCAGAAAAAAAAGAAAAAAAAAAAAAAGCAACTGATAGGAACATGATACTACGCCATACTTGGAGACGAACACTGTAAGTTCGAAAACAGAAATCGCATTTATGGACCACGTTAATCACGGCTAAAAATTCATAGCATTTTAGTATAAATTTTAATATGTTGAAAATTCAAGCAAAAGAAAGTTAAATTTCAGAAACTGCGCTTATAATAAAATACTGCTGAATTCAAAACAAATCTACACAGCTGGTAGTTTAAATGAAGATATAAAATAAACTCTTACCTGATGAGAAGCTTCCCACCCGTGGACTTCTAAAATATTTATTGGCGGAATGGTGAAAATTTTAAGAATCAACGCTAAAGAAAGAAAGGAGATCCAGGTTTGCAGCAACTACAAGTACACTTATATTGCTGCAAGAAACAAGCATCCAAAACACTCGGAAGAGGTACGTCACGCTCAGAACCGCGGATTTATATAGGATTCTGTTGCCAGTCGTCGAATGAGAATTCAAGGAGAAAAATGACGTCACTCAGCTTGGCATTTTCTGAGCCATTCATTGATTTCAGACAGTTGCTACTTAATCTCTGCATCCAACGTCATAGACATACTAGCCAATTGAAATATGAGTCAACTGTTTCATACTTGACAATCAATAGGGTTGATACCCATGTTTAAGTAATCCAGTCTTCAGAATTTATTTCCTCGAAAATTCTACTTGATATAACCTTCAGGAATATCATATTAATGAGTTGCATATTTCTCGAATTCCAAGTTTAATTGGTGTTATGACTTGATGACATTAACAATTACTTTCAGATGTATGCTTGCATCATATCTAAAGGTCTTACCTGGCAATAAGAAGTTTCCTTTTCATATCTTTAAATCTGATTAGTTATCCAAAGCACCATTTTTAATGTGCCTGGAGAAATATGTTAACGTTTTCCCCATAATTTTTCAGTCTGAAATATTTATTACTCTCTTTACATGAAAACACTGCAAACGGAACTCTCTGATACTCAAGATAAATATATAAAATCAAATTATTTTTGTCCTGCTGATATATTTAAAATTCCGTAGAACAGTTACAAATTACATCTCATATTTATTTATCAAAATTCAAAACTATCTAAAAGTTGATAAATCACATTATAAGCTGTAATTTTGTAACTTTCAACAAACTCCTCTCATAAAACAGTCTGCTTAAACCGTCATTGACATGTATGTCATACGCACATGATATTATTCCTGTTCTCATCTAAACAATTCGACATTAAGACTGACCTCCATAAAAAAAAGGTACTTAATGCAACTATTGAATCATATCGGCAATGTTCCAATAGTATGGCTCAAAAGAAAAACGGTGGGGAAAATCAATCAACGGTGAGTTAGCTGGGGACCTACTTTCTTTCTAATAAAATAGAGGTGTGCAAATATGGCCAAAATTTTCAAAAATGATTTTGCAAACAAATATTCAGGATTGGATCTTTACTGCAGTTTTAAAATTTATGCGTTTTAACAAAGTTCTTGTTGAGATCGTAGGTTTACTATTCTAATACGTGTATAGAGAAATAAATCTGAGATTCTGGAGTTACAATATTGTCACTTTATCGTTCATAGTGCTCTTTTGCATATAATCTGAACTTAAAATCTTGAATCGTGTTTTCTGAAGCTGCACCACGATTTGCCTGTAAAATGTGTTTCCTGTATTTAGAATTTTTAATCGGCTTTGACTGAATGAATGAATAGAGTTCATCCATCATTGGGAAAGTTTAATTATCATTGCAAGCGAACGATATCGAGATTACTCGAAATCATAAATCGGTGGATCATATCTAAAGTATTGTAACATATAATATACATTATCTTTTGGCTAAGGACATTTTAAAGAATATTCTAATCAGCAGCTAACCGCTATTTTTTAAAAAGGTAAATATAACTGGTTTATCTGCTGATCGGCGATGATGCCATCCACACCTCTTCTGAGTTTCAAAACTTTTGTTCCATTACCATGGCATGCAGAATGCTTGAGCATTCTCCAAAACTAAAACTATTTGTTTTTCAAGGCAAATATAGCTATTCTTCATTACATTTTACGTTTTCTGCTGTATCTCAGGGTATTAATAACAAGTTTCGCATTTTTCAGACTGCATATGGACAGATACAATGAAAGAAATATGATACCTTTTCAAAAATATCCTAAGCGAATATAATTGGAGTTGTGTACATCTAGCAAAATGTAGTTTTCCGCACTAATTGTTCTAAACAGGTTTTCCAGATCTAGAAGTCCTTATGAATATTAACGTGTTTAGGAAGATAACAGTAATCATTTTCAGTGCCATATTAGGTGAAATAGAGTACTTTGTGCCATGTATCCCAAATTGCCAAGACCGAAAGGAATTTTCTTTTTTTCCCCTTCTGCTCAATATAAAATTCAAACTTTTTAACTGAAATTTTTACTACAGTAAGCTACATCTTAAGAAACATTCTTAATTTAGATTGTTTTTTTTTATGTTAATTATCACGAATCTGATATGCATTTCGAAATCTACATAAATATATATTTTTTTTAATTTTATTTCTATTTTCTGTATTACTTTACTGCTCATGATATACATGGAAGTAGGTTTTTATATCAGATATAGTTTTAATCCAGCTACAAATTTTACATCATTCTGGATTTAAAAGATGTTATTTTGAAATTAAGGCATTTGGCAGATAATAAGAGCTTTAGAAATTTGGTATTAATTTGTAGCATTTTGGAAACAAGAGTACTGAATCGCTTGATTTCTACTAACTAATAAATTTTTTAATTGAATTAGTTCAGTTACTGATGATGAAAGCCTGTATAATAACAGATATAACAAATTAAAAGGACAGTAGACTAATAACATTTACTTACAGCAACAGTTCTTTTGAATTACCAAAAAAAAAAAAAAAAAACGTTTCGTAAATGTATTCTTTTCGGGAAAAGCAATATATGTTTAAGAACTTATATAAGATATTTTAAAATTCTATAAGTTTTAATGTTATGAATTTCAATATAACTAAATATGATTACCTCCTAATTTCTAAATTTGAAAAAAAAGAAAAAATGATTCAACAACATTTAAGCGTATCAAACTATTAAGCACTGTAGGCAAATTCCTAAACTTTCGAACATTTGTGAAAAAAAATATATATAATACATAAATATTTAGATTAGACAAAATATATAAATATTTAGATCTTCTCTCTGCACTTTCCTGGTCACTCAAGATTTGGTTATGATCACCAAATCGGATCACAAGGTTTGGGTTTGGGACTCAGATTTTAGTGGGTCCACGAATCATTCTACAACTTCTCGTGACTTTGTTTTTCTCTCTTTAAAAGAACGAATGTGAACGATGGGGGATCTTCAATGATTGCTTCTCCTTAGGCTGTCTTAAACGGACCCTGCTCAGGATTAGTGCTTCCAGTTGAAGGAAGAATAGAGTAAAAAGAAACAAACACAGACGATCTTAGAGTTAGTTTAAATAATTCTCTAGGGTGCATTAAACATAGCGATTACTGGATAAAATTAAGAAATTGCGCTAAATGGCCTATATGGCATATTGAAAAGACCTCAGGACATCAAGAAATGATATTGGTGATTGAGATGTTACTGAAATTGTAACGATCACTTTCCTTATTTTAATCAAACGTCTCTTGTACGTCAAAATACATATTTTCTAAAATTTTGAGTTAAACTGTTTAACAGTTTTTTAGAGTATGCTTCGAAAGTTCAAATGAATAGAAACGAGATAAGTTTCGAATTTTCAAATCTAGAATTTCTCTTAAAATTGGAGAGGTTCAAGGGTTGGAATGTCCAATTGCTAGTGAAAGGCGCCAGGGCATCATTGCATCATGTTTTTAATGTATAAGGGAAAGTTCTATCTGAAAGTAATGACTTCAATGTTGCGAAGCGAACACATTTCGCATTTTGTTTTCAGTTCTTATTGTCTTTAGAAGTTATTCTTATCGTACATTGCAGAACATCAAGTATATGCATATCTCTGTGAGCTAGACATTTAAACCACTGAAAGGATACAGAAAACGAAAGACATGAATAAAAAATGTATTTTCTATAAAATAATACGGTACAGATTCCAATAATCTAGATTCAGAACTACTGAACTATTCCTGAATATACGCCAGAGTTTTCTCTGAACTGTTCTCTTACAAGAACTGTTCTGCATTTGCACACTGAAAAATTTATTCAACTGTTATTATTTATTTTCTATTAGATTGCTATTATTTTCACGACTTTTAAAAAAAGAAGTCTTACATTTCATGAATTAATTATATTTTATAATCTAGGTCAGCAAAATATATTATGTTGGATAGAGCATAATCACCCATCGACTAACGCTTTTTTTTTTTTTTTTTTTTACATTGATTTGGTATCATTGATAATTAATCGATGTGAAAAAGGTGGTTAGAAAGCGCTATCGGTGAACAGCCAGAATTGTTTTTGGAAAGAAAAGCTACAATTCTCGAAATAAGAACTTGCTATTTTAAACAGATTTGAATTTTAGAATTTCCGAATTTTATGTTTTTATACCTCTATTGTAGTAAATTTATGTTATTATTGTTACAATTATCTCAGTTCTTAGGTTGAACTCAATAAAAAGTCTTCGATATATGGAACACTTATTTTCATTCATACTTCATATCGATTATTTGAGAAGCGTTTCATTCACAATTAAACTGAATATAAGTAAAATTCCCTTTATTTTGAAACCTTCTCGTCTACTAGAAATTTCGTATTTCTATTTTCGTATCTTCTTTCGTATTCGTATTTTGGTTTATGAGTTGTAAAAGAAATTTACCCTAAATTAAAAAAGTATTAAGAGTATATGCTCTAGGAAATCTTCATTAACTTCAGCACGTCTAATGGATTGAAAAATGCTTATATTTGGCTGATAACAATCTTAAGCACATATAATTTCTAATTCTTAAATATATATCTATTAATAGATATCTTAAATATATATCTATATATCGAATTTCTTGAGAATCAATTATTAATTTCAAATATGACGATGTTTATTTATTGCTAGGTACAAATGTTATCTTTGTAGCTTCTTATCCCTGCTGACAATAAAACAATTAGCCTTACCATAATCTCCCTGATATTTTCTCTTTTATAGACAAGGTTTGTACTAAAATCTCTCATAACTCTTGCAGTTTTCTCATAACATAGAAAGTAAGCATAGGAAGAGGGACTTCAGTTAAAAAGAAAATAAACAATATATACCCTATTTTACCCTTAGTTTTTCGGCACAAGGTTCTGAAATAAAAAATAAAAAAAATTGTGTATTTTTCCACTTCCTCAATGTTTTCAGAGAACAATCTCCCCTGAATTTTAGAATGGACTTGCTTTTGTCTTCTTAACAAAGGACAAATCACCTGCGAAGATCACGTC